CCTCTACGTTGTGTGCGATGTTGACATTGTTAGCTGCCATTTTTGATTTTTTTGCTAAGAAACAAAGAATCAAACAAGTTAGTAATAAACACAAGGATCAATTCAATTACGCAATTGTCTAAGACCCACGGTGGGTGCCAAAATATTTACCCGAAAAACTGTATAGTTGAATTTGTTAAGTGATTTATAGACAAGCGAACTGATTTGATCCAAAAATAATAAATAAACCATATTAAAAATAAGAAATAACAAGCTTGGCTCTAAGAGCATTGCCTCCCGGGGATAGAAGTGAGAATAATATAAAGAGCAAGTAAAGTTCTTTTATTTAGCTTGAGAATAGAATGTAGCATAAGTGTTGCCAAGAATTTCCTGTCCTACAATGGTTGTTGAATCTACTATTTATGGCTATACCTAGGGAAACAAGATCCTAAGATCAAACCCCTCTTATATGACAATAAAGTGGCCATTGATGAATATGTAACGGCATGCCATGAATGTAAATATTCTCTGTAATGGCTGCTCATTTAATACCAGGGAATATTCTTCATTGAATGTTATCCGATGACAAGCATTCGATATGCTCACGTTGATCATGCTCCCTCCGGGGTCTATCTGAAGTCAATTGTAGCTTTTGCTCCCGGTACTGGTTATTACACGATTTGCTTTCTACATGTCTTCGATTTCACGTGTCACGCTACCATTCGATCATTTAATGTAAACCAGTTTTACCCTATACAATAATTTAATAAAAAAAATAATTAACTTATTGTTACATACTAAGAATTACGTTTAGCCATGGATTTTGGGAGTTTGTTTTGAAAAAAAAAAATGAAAACAATGTTTGTTCATAGAATATGATGAATTTTTAAAAATAAATTTGAAAAAAAAATTCAAGTTCCCAAAAACTGGCTTGGGGCAGTATCTCGGTGAAAATTTTCTTTCCACTCATAAATTTTCAACTTTTTTCAAATAAAATGCATGTTTAAATACAACTTCAACTTCCAAAAATTATTTTTCAACACAACTTCAAATACTTATTTTTTAAGTTTCAACCAAATCTATGTACAAATACTAGCTAAAATTTATTGAGGATGTGAAATAATATTTACATTCTCGATAAATATAACTTGTAACTGTAATGAATACCTTTTATTTAAATCATATCCGTGAGCACGATTATTTATCATTCTCTTGAAAGATGTAGACAAAAAAGCCTAATTTTCCATGAAAATTTCCACATGATAAGTTTATGTTCAATTCTCACTATTCAAGTTCTTTGTCTCACCCACTAATTTTTCATTTTTAATTAAGAATATAAAAGAGTTTAAGTTTAGTGCATTTATAATATTGCTCTGTCAAATAAAATTAACTTGCAAATCTTCATATTGAGAGAGAAGAAAGATTAAGCAAAGTATTATGGACCGCTCGAGTGTCCGTATTACGTGCTAGTGTGATTAGCAAAGAGACAAGAGGGGAACAACGTATTTCAGAATTCAGACCATTTATTTGGAATCATTCGACGTGGGTGGTGGGGGACATTGACTTATTTAGAGTAAATCTACGATATTTTGTAATCAAATAAAGAATGATTGGCACTGGCTATTTTATTCTGCACCAGAAAAGGACTTCCACACAGTTTACGGAATTACAATATTCCCAAGAGGTTTTCAAAATTTGTTATAAATTAAAAGAGGAACTGAAATTTAGTAATGGAAAAATTCCAAGATGAAAAACTGATTTTTTTATATTATAGATTTAGAGTGACAACAAGCCGAATAGTAGTCTCTTGATTAGCTTGGAAATTGTTAGGCTTTGCTTTCATAAATGTGATAACTAACTTCGAAAAGTATTTCTTTAATAATAGTGAAATTATTGATAAAAGAAAAGACAGAGGGGAACAAAGTGGCTATTAAAATGGTTTTGGATCAAGATGTTTAGTTAATACATACATACATCAAGTGTTTTAAGTGAATAGCTATATTTATGACATAACACAAGGTATGTATATATATTACTAGTCCATTATCGACAAATTAATATTGTAGAAGCAAAAGGCTAGCTATAGAATCTAATAAAAGTAAAATAAATCGGGAGAAAAAGAAAAAGAAAAAGAGAAAAGTAATAAAAGGGAAAAAAAAGTAAGCAATGTACGTAAGAAAAGTAGCACTGGAAATTATGCACTGGCCTAGGGATTATCAAGGGGAAATGAAAATAGAATAGTATAGTAATAGTTAAATAGTGGAATCTATTTAGGTAAGTATAGTTTATGCAAGGAAAAGCCAAAGCAGGAGTGACATTTTTGTTTGTTAGTGATAACAACATGTCAATTGGGAACATTATGGACAAACAACTGGTCGAATTTTCTGACGTCTAATTTTATTACTCTAATAAACAAAATAGGGTGCATTGCAGTTGCGAAGCCAAAAGATGACCAGAGGCTTGGAGCTTAAAAGCCAAAGTTTAAGTGGAGTTCTTTAAATTAAAAATTTAATAAATATTTTTATTTAGAATCTATTTTTAATTCTTTGAAATGCAAAGTCGTTAATTATTTTTTATAATCGATTTTTCTAATAATATTTTAATATATATAGTCATATATGGTTTGGAAGAGAGAGCGCGCGCTAATCCATTTAATTTTCTCTTTTTCTTGAACTTTATTATCGTCTAACTCAACTAGATTAATGACCTGTTCGTCTAAAAAATACTCCCCTATATTACTAATTTAGTTTTCTATTGCTCGCAAATTTTTTATCAAGAGCTCTTTTTTAAAATTATATTAAATTTTCAACTCTTCTCTCTCTCTCTCTCTTTTAATTTTTTCGGATAACAAAATTTATATTTTCTAGTTGACATATTTAAATTCTAATAAATATTTTAAAAATATACCTATGAAGTAAAAATAACAAATACAAGATAAAAAGATACTAGAAAGTTAGAATGAAAGAACCCGATTCAAGAAGTTTGAAGACTTAATTCTAAACTTCGTACTGCTACTTCAAATATTTCCCACAAACTTTAAATGTGAGAAAGAACAGAAATGAGACGCAATATATTGTATCGAAAGTAAATGTTAACTATGTTTTTGTAGAAGCGATATAAATTATCGGAAGTTTTGAAAAACAAATAGTTGATCGTAGAGAAAGTAAGGAAGAATATAAGACAAAGTATGTAAATTAATGGAAAATGTGAAATAAAAGATTGTGGCTCTTGCATAAACTAAGAAAGAGAGTGTAAAGTTTTAACACATTTTCTACTGAAAAAGTCAAAAGTGGAATAACAATTTTCCTTATCAAATCCATTTCTTACTAGTATGTAAATGATTTATAGAGTTATTCTTATTTCCCTATTTTTTAAATAAATCGGTCACTTAATTATTCACAAAGCTAAATGTTTGCTTTCCTTTTATATGAAAATTTTAATTTTTTTAAGAATATTACTCAATATTTTCCAAAAAAATAAATTATAATCCTATTATTTTTAGAAAATGGCGTCTCCAAATTTGGGGGCCTAAAGCAGTAACTTAAGTTACTTCATAGTTAAGCCGGCACCGGAGATGACACTATTTCGAAATGCCATTGAACTTATTGATCATTTAAGTTATTAGGATTTAATAATTATATAATATAGGAAACCGTTTAACACAATACATAAAATATGAACTAAAACTATTGAGTATGAGCTAAAATAAAGTACTTATTTTTTTTATGATTTGTTTTGTTTATTGAATGGCAGTCCGATGTTTGGCATTTGGCAGACCCAGTCAATAGAGGATGTTTAGACCAAGTCTTTGTCTTTTCTTACTCACACTACTCTATCCTTGCCTGTACATGAGTACACAATTAAAACTGGCATGGATTTCTGTATCCTTAACCGATTCCAATAGATTAAAAAGTCTTTTTTCGATTTTTTTTCTTTTTTGGCGGCCCGTTTACTACAACATAATCCTCTTTCTTTATGCGGACTTGGAACTAATAACGATAAAAGTAAACTCATACAGACAGAGTGAAAATTAAAATCGTAATAAGAATTATCCATACAAACTAAATTAGATCTCAATAACCTATATACTGAAGATTAAATGCACGTACCAAACATGTATCTCTAGTCCCCACACGCTCATTGTGCCTTGCACCTATTTTTTCTCCATTAAAAATGGTTTCACAATGCTTGTTAATTTCTTTTTTCTAAAAGAATTGGCAATTTTCATATTTTGTACAATAGCCTTGTTCAGTGGCGAAGCCAAAAAATTTCGGAAGGGTGTTCAAATTTGAAATAAGTAAAAAAAAAAATCTAACAAAGGGTGTTCAATATATGATATGTACCTCCAAAACCTAATATTTTACTTATATACGCAATGTAATTTTTCGACAAAGGGTGGTCAAGTGTGGCTTCGCCCGTGCCTTGTTATATATTTGAACAATATCTCCTTCCTACTTGTTAATTTATTTTGATATAATATCTTTTCAATTAGCTTTTATGACATATTTAATATTTAAGCATAAGATGTTATTGTTAAGCACACACAGTCTACACACCCATGAAATTAGTGAAAGGAAGATTATGAAGCTTCACTATATAACATGTGTATAATTCTATATAATTGGTATAATTTATATGCATCGGCTAGTTAAAAATAAACATTTGAGTAAAATCCCTTTGAAGAATGCATATCAAAGATAGAAGAACGAATATAACTTTTTAGTGGACCAACTTATTATGGCCCATATGCAGAATGTATCTCAAGATAGAAAGCCCAAACTGTTTCGCAAACATAATATAAGCCCACCTCTTGTATGTGCTTGAATTGCCAAAATAAACATGAGAAAACTTCATTTGTAGCCATCCGGAAAAAACTAATGACAATAGCTAGCCACAAAATAAACCATACAATTAACAATCCAAAACTAATTAAAAGACTAGCCCAAGACTACTGCCACTCAAAACCCTAACTTCCTTCTCTCAGCGATCATACGCATTTTCCTCAGCCGAATAAGTCGTTGTTATCCCAAATATCCATTTGTATTACTCCCATTTTGACGGATACCATTTGAGCCCGAACCCGAACCCAAATTGGTATTTTGTATCCTTGCAAATTCACCTAAGTGCAAATTGGACCCATTATTATTCGTATTCAAAGCTTCCAGCAAAGTCCCAAATTGCGGCCCGTTTGACTCCAACAGCGAACTGAATTGCCCATTAGTCATACCAATCACTCTACTACGGTTCTGATCAAAAGCTGGAATTGCAGGTATACCAAAGCTGGAATTGCAGGTATACCAAAGCTGGAACTGAAGATGAAACTGAAGACGACGTCGTTGAGGAGGAAATTTTCTTATTGGATGAAGAAGAACGTTTTGTGTTCTTACGAGAACCACCACCAACTGGAATATTCCTAGGAGTACCACCTTTGGCCCAATACCTACGACAACTCTTACAAAAGTGACGTGGCTGAGAAATATTATAATTGTTGTAATAACATAATTTTGTGTTTGGTGAATCACATCTTGGACATTTCAAGTGTTCTTGCTCTGGAAATTGTGGTTTTATTTGTGTATAAATTGATGGATCTTGCATATTTAATTTTCTCTTTAGCCTATAAAAATTCAGTCTTTTTGAAATAAACCAAGTGAATTAGTAGTATTGAAACAAAAAAAAAAATGGTTCTTAGTAGTATTGAAACAAAAATTTGTATAGTGAATATATACAAAAATAGATTGTCATTATACAAAAAATATACTAAATAGACTGTTACTATATAAAATATAGGCTTGGTTTAGTAGTGAATTAGTAGTGTTGAAACAAAAATTATATAAAAATAGACTGTCACTATATAATTTATATACAATAGACTGTCATTATACAAAATATGTACAAAATAGACTGTTACTATACAAAATATATACTAAATAGACTGTCACTATACAAAATATATACAAAATATACTGTCACTATACAAAAATATACTAAATAGACTGTCACTATATAATTTATATACAATAGACTATCACTATACAAAATATATACAAAATAAACTGTCACTATACAAAATATATACTAAATAGATTGTCACTATACAAAAAATATATACAAAATATACTCCCACTAATATAAAATAGACTGTCACTATACAACAAATATACAAAATAGACATTTCGGGCTATTAGTTATAATATGTTTGGGCCGAAGGGCTATTTTGTGTCAATGGGCAAAAATATGAGCTATTAAAATTTTGAGGGGTTATAGACGGTAGTTTTCTCAACAAACATCTTCAGCTTCGGACCGAACTTTTGGATTGATTTGTAGGCGAAGATCACTTTTAGCCGGCGGTCAAAACTAATTATATTCGATAACCGAGCGGCTATACTGACACTTTTGAGAGCGGCTATTAAGTGTCATTTTGTTTCATGACTCAAATAATTAGTTCATAAAGCGAATTAATATCTAATAATGTTATCTGTCAATCCAAAAAATTTCACTTCTACTCAACTCTTCTTTAAAAGTTAAAAGTGAATTCGGAAACTAACTTACGTAACAATATATACAGTTATCATTCACCAATTAGCGTAAAAGTAAGAGAAAGTTAAAGTCATTATGTACATTTTGAAAAGCTTCTATAATTGATGTGGAGAAGATATAGCAAATCAAGCTTTTTATCACTGTTGAAGGACAAAATGGAATCGATTGCATTACTATTGAGCTTTAGCGTCAATTAGCTAATGATCACCATCTTTGAAACTCCTTTAGGACCACCAATTGGCAATTGCAATAATACGCTTGAGTGACTATAGCTTGGTCGATTTTCCCAACATTTTCTTCTCTAAATCTTTTCAAAGTTTCTTGGCTCTAATGAGATTTGACCTTCGCACCATTTAGATACAATGTGAAACTTCAACCAATAGACTAGAGTTAAGGTATTAATGTTTTTTCCACTTCTTTTCAATTTATATTTAAAATTCGTTGGCATGTATGATGGAATTCGTTTAGATCTATTTCAGTTGCCACTGAAATGGAATATGAAAAAATACAACTTTTGCTTTCGTATCTTAGACGGGGGAATTCTTGAAAGGCATACGAATACGCCTCTCGCAAATGAATATAGACTCAATTCTTAAATGAGGGGGTCTTTTTGGGAGTCCAAAATCTAATTGTGGTATTTTTGGACTCAAACGACACAAATAGGTAAAAAAACTGAGTATCATTTTATATATAGTGCGGTTATTCACCGCGCTATTCCTTAACGACACGTTTGTCCGTTAAGGTATAGTACGGTGAATAACCGCGCTATATTTGAACTAAAAATTGGCGGGATGTATAGCGCACATATAGAATTCCCTAGCGCCTTCTATATGTGCGCTATACCTATATAAAAAATTGTGTCATCTCCTTCCCCCCACCAGAACGCGAACCAGCAGACCCCAAAAATCGATCCCCCTATTTTTTAAGGGAAAAAACTCCATTTGAGCTCCGTCCCACAAAAAGTGTATTTTCTTCTTATTGTAGCAAGTTAACACCGGATTCAAGGCGTTGTCGTGTAGTGGATCCCGTCGATTGCTCGTTTCAGCCCTCAAATTATCAAATTTTAAGATTTCAAAAAATTTTAAATCGAGGTATTCCGACTTACTTTTTGGTAAAATTCATATATATAAAATGCTTATTAATTGTTATTTACTGTGGGCTATGTTTTTTTATTATTATTTTGTGATTTAATTAATTTATTATTTTTTATCCGGATTACATTATTTATGTGCTAAAAAATAAGTAAAATATATATATTATTATTTTATGAATAATTATTGTTATATGTGATTTTATTGTTGTACGTATATTAATATATGACTTTATTATTGTTTAGTGCCCTTTAATATTATATTGTGCCCTTAATTGTTATGTAGTGCCTTTTAGCGTAGTAAAACTGATAATAAATTTTAGCTAATGGTAGTTGACTTTGTTCATGGCCATTTAGAGACCACCTACTGCATCCCCGTATAGTTAGACGCCTTCAGGATATGGGTTTCTACAGAATCATAGAGATTGGCCGGTTGCAGTTCGACTGGGCGTTGATCACGGCTATGATAGAGCGGTGGCGACCGGAGACACACACGTTTCATCTACCCATCAGCGAGGCTACCATCACACTTGAGGACGTGGATGTTCTTTTTGGGCTGCATGTCGATGGATTACCTGTAGCTTACCCATATGCTCTTAGAGACCATAAGGAAGTGAATTACCTGCATATGTTGCAGCGACTCACCGGTTTCCAGCCAGCGGAGCCGACTGCATTGAGTGGGGCTAGTCAATTGCAGCTGACGCCCGTCCGGCAGTATCTGGCGGCGATGGATACGGAGATTACGGATGATTCACCGTCGGAAGATATCGACCGGCACACGAGATTGTTGTTGCTGTTGTGTTTGGTGGTGTACTATTCCCGATCACTTTGGGAAATCTAGTTAGTTTGAGATTTCTACATCATTTGGAGCGGCTAGATAATTTACCTGGTTACAGATGAGGTGCAACTGTTCTAGGTTACCTGTATAGGCAGATGTGCCAGCATGCATGGGCACCCAGAGAGACGTTGACGGATTTTTACCAATATTGTAGGTGAAAACATAGTCAATTCTTTTCATGATTATAACATACATAGTAAAAGAATACCTTAAATTTTACGTCCACAATCTATATTAGGTTTGGGCCTCAGAGAGGTTCCTACAGTTCCAGCCACCTCTACCACCGATTGCACCGGATGCACCACCTCTACCGTTTCCTCCTTTAGCTTGGCGGTGGGTTGATAGGAGAGGCTACGCACGCGAGGTCGAGGCTCGACATCATCTCCCTTATTACAGGGATTTGTTGGATTTACTTGAAGGCGCGCATGTACATATATACTTAAGTTTACTTGGCCTGACTTTATATGTATTGCATTTACTCACAATACTTGTGTTTAATAAATAGTTCGTACGGAGGCCATACCGCGACGCGCTCATAGCTGCTTTGCCCGATTATTTCTCTCGTGGCCGAGCTATGTGAAGCTCTTCCGTCCCACTGATATGTCTCGACATAGTCGATCATCATGCCACGGAGCGAGTCCTTCATCAGTTTGGTCGCCCGCAGCTTGTACCTAATCTGCCTACTTGGCACGCGACATATTACCAGCGGGATGATCGTTGCAAGGTTGACCAAACATACATGGCATGGATAGAGGCCTAGATTGAGGTTTGGGACCAGAGGTATGGCCTATTCCGCCATGCCCTCCACCTGACCGTATGGATGGCGAGCATGAGTGCATGGGTTGGTATCGCAGCATTACCCGACTTCTCGACGGGAATCCCATTCATCGCGCAGGTGGTCGGTACATTCCATACGCCGGGAGGCATGAGGCACTGGTATGTTAATTGTTATACTTACTTATAAAGTTGCATTATTCTTCTAAAATTAATATTTTACATGTTATGCAAGCTATTATCTTACATCAGTTCTGCCAGTTAGGATTGTAGATACTGCAGCATACACGCGATGGAGCGTCAGCTTTGTACGTCTTTGGTCATCGGGTTATTGATCTTGCTGCCGACACATTGAGACGTGCCTGAGAGGATGGGCGCTTAGGATACGAGGCTGCTTATGTGCCGCCAGAGGAGTACCATCATGGGCCACAAGTAGAGCCTGAACGTGGTAGACGTGGCAGACATGGCTAGAGAGGAAGGGCTAGCCCACGAGGTCGTGGTGGTCGGCGAGGACGGAGTTCCCAGCAAGGGGGCGTTGAGGCACCCGTGGAGGATATTAGAGATGATCATCCGGGTGAACACCCTGAGCCACACGATGCTCTTAATGATATGTCGTCATTCATCTTTCAGCTATCGCCATGGATTGATGATAACAATGAAATACGAGAAATGTGTGTCAACTGGGGACTAGATTATGATGCCCTCGGTTCGGAAGGGTGCGTACAAGAGGCTGACGAAGAAGATGAAGACAATGACAATGAAATAGTGCCAAATAGTAATGGCGAATGGAAATTGCTATTTATTTCTTGAGGTGAATGTTAAATTGTTGTATTGAATCTTTAATGCTAAATATCAATTAGATTTAACCCCATTGGAAGCATAATTTTATTTCATAAATTTTGCAAACTGAAAATTTACAAACATATAGTACAACAAAAATACTGCAAAAATAAGCACTACGTTTATCCTTGATAATGGGGCACATTGGATGAACTGCCACCTGGAGCTGAATTACTACCGCTTCTCAAACCAACTGAAGGACATTTACGGCGGTCGTATCCTGTTTGGGAACATATGCCACATTTACGCACATAAACGGTATCACCAACATCCATTTAGTTCCATATCCGTGTTCTTTTTTTGCACTTGCCATTGACGCAAATAATCCTTGTTATACACCATTTTAAATGGTTCCGTCGGCCAATAATGCTCAACACCCACTGGCTGCAACTGTCCACTATAGGTGTTTAAGTATGCAGCAACACTATATTCTTTATCAACGTACCTCGTTACCACAAAACATGTATGTTGAAAGCACTTCATGGCATGTGAGCATGATAAGTAATACATTGACCATTTTCCACACGAGCATAATCTCCTGGCTTTATTGACGGTGTGTGTATTATTCTCGCGGTTGTGATGCATACCAGTGCGAACTTCAAAAATATTTCGCTCGCTACAATACTGCAAAAATGAATGTCATTGTGCTCTCTTCCTATATTTATCAAATTGTTTCATTGGTTGGGGCATAAATTCAACACCCTTTTCCATCAATGACGATGCACCTCTAGATCTTTCAACAAACCTCTCCGCCATCTGCTTGAAAGACATCCGCACCATGGCAGTGAACGACAATCCATGTGCAGACTTCAATAACCCGTTGAAAGACTCTGACATATTTGTAGTCAAAACTCCCCATCTTCTACCACCATCCTTAAGACAAGTCCACTTGTCAAGCTCATGTCGCATCAACCAACGATAGGCTTCTGGGTCTTCCTGCCTAATCAATTCCATTCGCCTCCTGAATTTATACTCTTGGTGATCTGTTGCAACCATCCATATTAAATCATGTAATTCCTTATTCGGACAAGCCCTCTGGAAGTTGGCCTTCAAGTGCCTAACACAGTAACGGTGGTAGGCATACGGTTCCTTCTATTCACGCAAATTCTATACAAAACTTAAAATACGCCATGCCGATTAGATATTAGACAAATACCTGAACGTTATTTGACAACGTGCTCCTTTAGCATCTACTGCAATGACGATCAACAACTTAATATCATACTTTCCATGGACATAAATGTCGTCTATGGATATTACCGGCCGACAATGGACAAAACCATCAATAGTTGGTTTAAATGCCCAGAACACATATCTCAATATGTATTCTAGTATTCCTAAACTCCGCTCAAGCTTCCATTCAATAACAGTCCCGGGGTTAAAGTATTGCAATGCAGCCATATAGCTGGGTAGAGCGGCAAAGGACTTATCCCAGTTACCATAAATAATTTCAAACGCACGTTTACGACTGAGAAATGCCTTTTTTTGGTAATGGTACATCTATATACCTGGTGGACAGATGTTATACACTCTTTGATTTTGTACCTTATGGACGCTTCAATGTGTGAAATCAAGACAAGAGAAATCAAGTCAACATTCAAGTTAAAATGATTCCCACTGAATGTGTCCATTTCACAATTGTGGGTGCCAATGTATTTCCCCACAATTCACATATTTGTTTTTAACTTTTTCGCACGCAGAATCTAATTACAACCTTGAAACCATCTACGACAAATAATTTTGTATCTCATAACACTCTTTTATGCTGTACATTCGCACCGCCCTGCTTAGGCGCGCTTTATCAGCAAAAAGCATGCCCTTTGACAGCACCGTTGCTCTAGATTCATCCCACATTGTTGTCCGAATTTGGTCAAGATCCCTTGTGAGGGCATCCACATCTGGCATACTTGGCAACTGATCAAGGTAGGGAATCACCCTTGAATGAAATGGCATATGGGATTCGTGCACTCTTGGTCTAACAGGAGGTGGAGCATGCTCCCTCGTCAAATCAGGTTTATAATTCTCGTCCTCATCATCATTACCCTCATCAGGGAAGGGTGTGTCATCTCCAGACTCATCAACATTATTATCATAATCACTATCATCTTCCTGACTCTGCGCATCTGCCAAATCCCGATTAAATATATCGTCTTTGTGTAATTGAGTAAGGACAGAACCTTCAAGTTGCTCGTTTTCACTACACAACCAATAAAATAATGAGTTTCCCAAATTCATCCAAACTTTACATAGAAACTTTATCACTTAACTTACAAATCAAAATGTGTTGATATCCCATGATGCATATTATCATGTTGTTGATGACTCCCGGATAGACCACCATGATCCAATACACCAAAACTAGGCATATTCCAACTGTCCGTTGGTTCATAACTTGTAAAATTCATATCTGACCGGTACCTCCTGTGGAATATATGAGTTTTCATACAAATTCAATACAAAAGGATAAACTTCGTAACACAAAGGAAAATTGAAGTTTACCACTCGGCCTGTGGATTATGTAAACTTGGGGATAAATTATGTCCTCGCTCCTCATTCGCCCGTAAAGATAAGTTTAGATCTGGCCAAACTCTTTCACCCGGAACCTGTTCGGATAAAACTGCTCCAAAACAACCACCCGATGATTGAGGGATATCCCTATTTTGCGAAACCTCATTATTGCGTACGTCTTTAGCCTTGACGTACATTTCCAACATTTTTATCACAAGAAATTCACGGTGTTCATCCGGAGTCCTCAAAAAATCTGTCAGAGTTTCATCGTACTCGATGTTAAACTCAGCATAACAAGCATTCCCTTGCGGAGTAATAGAATAGGGATATCTTCCGGTTACTTTAATATTAACCAAACGTTTGCTCACACTTTTTTTTTTATATCACAACGATACCAATCTATCGTACTCCATTGTAAGTGACAACTTAATATGACACTGTGGAGAACAACTATAGCGTACTGAGTTATTATCCATCACAACCTCACCCCCTCACCCCAATATAATGAAACCCTAATTTTTCGCTCTTCGGATATTATGACAAAATACAAAATAACTTAACTAACAAATATTTCGGAAGATCGGAAGGATCCTGAATGAATTTTTATCAAATTATGAAATTCCTTAAATAAGAAACAAAACCAGTCTGGGTGGTACAATTATTTCATGTATAGCGCATGCATATTAGGCACTATATATGTAGCGTGCATACTGCATGCGCTATACCCATATGAATTATTGGTGGGTCAGTAAAGTGCAGCTGAATTATTGGTCGGGTAGGAAAGTGCCTTAACGGACAAACGTGCCGTTAAGGTATAGCACGGTGAATAACCGCGCTATATATAAAATGGTAGTTAATTTTTTTTTACACCTATTTTTATC